AATAATTCAACCACTAATGAATTTGAGAAAATTAAGAATGAATGACAGGGAGGAAAGTTTAAAGTATGTGAATTGGTTTTCATGTGGAGAGAATCTCTTGAGGAACCATTTCATGTCACTGAAAGAATACCTTTAAACATTTGAGCTATTGAAATTTGGTGTTAACAATTATTCTAATATGAAGAAGATTCCACAAAACCTCTAATTATTTCAGAGTTAAACTATTTGATGAATTTGTTCACCTCAAATTCAAACATTCCTTCTAGTTGTCGAACAGTAGTTTATTCTAATCAATATTAATCACTTGCAGAGCATCAAATGAAGTATCAACATTCTCCTCTTCTTCCAATTCTGTCATTAACAATTGCATAAACAAGTCAGTCTTACCAAAAATTCTGACAGTTGCCAATCTATCATATTCAGTTTTCTGTAAATTTACAATACACATCATTCCCTTATTATCTAGAACTTCAAGTGGGAATTCACAACTAGGAGTAACTTTCATACTTGTTCCAAGAACCAATGCAAAATCACCCTTCTTTGAATGATCCATTGCTTGATCAAAATCCTTCTCAGGCAAATCTTCATCAAAGTGAATTATATTATCCTTAAGTCTGCCACCACATTCACACTTTCTTCCAGTAAAGTGCTTGGTCCAATCCTTTTCATTCTTACTAACATCAAATCCTCTCAAATATTCCTTATCACACTTGTTACAATATTCAACATTATGAAGACCATCCACATTGGTCGATACGACATACTTTACATAGTCCTTCTTGACCAAATGTGTGATGGCATAGTGACAATAGGTAGGAACAGCTTGCTCAATTTCCACACCTTCATATTCCTCAACACCATATTCCATTGCAGTCCAAACTCCTTTCGGCCCACGATAATCACTCAATTGTGCACTTGTTGAAATACCAGCTCCAGTATAAATCACTACATGTTTGGCTTCTTTCAAATAATTGGCCAGTTTTTTGACTTTTCTCTTGATGGATGTTTCACTCTCTTCGTGTTCTTTCAACGAAGCTGGAAGTTCTTTTGGTTTGGCTGGTTCTGATGCTTTTTCGGAGGTTGTTTGGGATGAGGATTTGCTCTTCTTTTTGGATTGCTTTGGCATGTTGTGAGAGGATCTTTAAGCTTAGTAGATAGTAGGTATTTTTTTGAACGAATGAATTAGATGTGAAAATTTAATGACGATTCTTAAAGAGGAAAAATCTGTAACCAAAATATTCGTCATTTTCAAAGTTCTTAATTTCTCCTCTATTTTTATCAGCAAGGTTCACCTTTTGTTTTAATTGTGTTTTAAGGCTGATGTGTTTAAACAACTGGTTTTAAAGATAAAGGTCGTAAAGCAAATTGGCGCAGCGGAAGCGCGATGGGCTCATAACCCATAGGTCCTAGGATCGAAACCTAGATTTGCTAACTATTTTTTTAGTTTATTTTGTTATTTACAATTCCAACTCAATTTTGTTGGAATTACTGTTTCTGAAAGATCGATAGATCTGTCATATATATTTGGGGGTTTGAACTGTTCAAATTAATAGACAGCTTCTCCAGCATAAACTTGATTCTCAATTCCACCCTCTCCTTGAGCAATTTTGAAATATCCAGACATTCCCCAATTTGCGCCCCATGAATTGGCAGCTAACCAATAATTAGAACCTCCCTCAACTCCAAATCCAATTAAGGCAACAGCATGTCCACCAAGAACTGTGCTTACAACGTGTTTATAGACACCAGACTTGTAACTAGAAAAACATGTTAGAATATATGAAACAAATTAAACTCACCCTGTAAGATCTCTGTAGACTGTGAAACCAGCCTGAACGCTGCCATATGTCATGATTGCAGTCTTGATATTATTGATACCTGTAATGTAACGAGTATTTTTGGCCTTATACTTGCTCATGGACATGGAAGCAATCTTGCATTGAGTTGGACAAGTACCAGAGGAGAAGGTTCCTCTTCCACTAGCATATGGAATACAAGTATCGAGAGGTGTTCCAGTATTTTCCAAAAATGTCCAAGAATATTTCAAATAACCTCCTTGACAGGCCTTATTCATTGTATCGCATTGTACTTGATATTCTGGTGAGAGGACAACATTGGTTTGACCATTGGTGGCAATGCACAATCTATGAGCCAATACATAATTTGCAGAACTATCATAATATTACCAAAAAAAGGAAAATTGTGTCGAATGAAATTATAAGTTGAAATTAATAAAATCAAATTGTAAAACTTACAAAGCCCAACAAGCACCACATGTTTGTTGATCTCTAATTGCTGGAACACAACCTCTCCATTGAGTTCTTGCATCAAAATTCATGGGTATATCCATTCTAGTTTCAATATTTTCCATTCTTGGAGTGTCTTCATCAGTGCTCATCAATGAAAGACCAAATAGATTATCTCTAAGTTGTGAAATGGTCATGTTATCAAATCTAGAGTATTCAGTTGCCTTCCATCCATGAGTATGATTGGAATTAATTCTGTCAATCAAAGATTTGTCATTGACAGGAGTGTTGGCATGAGTGTGGTTGGCAATTGGATGAGTTGGATGAACAGGATGAGTGCTATTGTGCTTTGGTGGTAATGGTTTCTTTTTGTTTCCTTTGGAAAGTTCAATTGGAGTGACCATTTCAAAAAAACCAAACAGACA